TGGTTTTGAGCACTGGGCAGAACTCTTCTCTTCCCCCTGCCCACGAGCCCCAAGCCATGGTGTCCACATCACTCAGCACAGGCCAAGAGGTGCCTCTCGCATGGCGGCCAGATTACCTGACTCATGTCAAATCATCTTTATTGAGACATGCTTTAATATAACAAAATGCACCTATTATATGTGTAGCTTGATGAGTTTCTGACACGAAATGCCTATGTTACTAGTATGTGGTCACTGCTGTTATTTCTGTGTTGTTCCAGCTAGATCCAGAATGTTTACATCACTGGGAAGAGTTCTCCCATGCCCTGTCCCAGTCTTTCACTCTAGCCAATCACTCTGGAGAAGAAAAATTTAAAAACAAGTTTTTTTTTTCTTTTCTCATTGATCACCCTGTCCCAACACAATCATGTCTCTTTCTTCTTCTCTTTCATTCCTGTTGCTCTAGCAGTCTGAAAATTTGCTGCTTATTGGCTCTGTATTAGTCAGTTTTCTTTGCTGTGACAGAATACCTGAGGAAATCTCTTAAATGAGGAAAGATTTATTGTAATTCACAGTGCACAATTCAGAGGTTTTGGCTGTGGTGCTTTGGCTCCATTCTTTCTGGTCTGTGGTGAGGCTGCACATCATGGCAGAAGTGTGTGGTGGAGCAAAGCTGCTCACCTTCTGGTAGTCAGGAAGCCAAGAGAAAGAGAACCAGAGAGAAAAGGGGCCAGGGACAAATTAATCCCTTTAAAGGCATGCTCCACTGACTTACTTTCTCCAACTAGGTCCCACCTCCTAAAGTTTCCACAACCTCCCAATAGTCCATTAAGCTATGAAGTCATCAATGGAGTCATCCAATTCATTAGTGGATTAGTCCATTGATAAGGTTAGAGCCCTCAAAATCCAGTCACCTCAAAGGTCCCACTTCTGAATGCTCCTATACTGGTGACCAAGCCTTTAACACATAAGCCTCTGGGGGTCACTTCATATTCAAACTATAACAGCTCTACTGATGAGAGAGATAGGAGCAGGCCTCATTAGTTTTCTTTTCTTTCTTAGTGGATCCACTGATCCATCCATCCACCCACCCATCCACCCATCCAACATCTATCCATCTGTCCACTCATCCATCTATTTGTCCACCCATCCATCCATTCATCCATCCATCCACTCATCTACTTATCCATCTACCTCTAAAGTCCCTATCCATCCAATCATCCATCCATCCACTCATCCATCCATCCGTTTAGCCATCCATCCATTCATCCTTCCATCTGTCCACCCATCCATCCGTTCATTCACTCATCCATCCAATCATCCATCCATCTACTCATCCATTTATCCATCCACCATCCACCCATTCACTCATCCATCCATTTATCCATCCATGCATCCATCTATTTGACCATCCATCCATCCAGTGATCCATCCATCCATCAATCATCCATTCATTTATCTATCTATCTTATCTATCTGTCATGTATGTTGAGTGTCTACTGTGAGCTAGCTATTAGAATTCCTGCTTCCACTCAATTTATGTTCTAACAGGGAAATTAAACGATATAGCAATTTTGATGAAAAGGTGATACGTATTACAATGAGGAAGAACAAGGTAGGAATGGGAGCCTCAGTAGGCATAGCTGGCAGTGATTCTTAGGGACAAGAGACATTAGTGAAGGAGATCTGCAGAATAAATATTGAGTCAGTTAACTATTTCAGTATTTGTTATTATATGCCATCAGCCAAGTGCAGTGATAACTGCTCATGAGTCAAATAGAGGTGAGCAAGACACACAGGCCCTGCTCTTATGGGGTGTGCATCATGGTGGAGTTAATGGGACTGAGCTGGGGTGATGGGGTGAGTTGGAATATGCATATTGGTACACAGGGAAGAGAAATCATGGTGAATAAGAAGCACTGAAGATGCTGTGTGACGAGAGTATGAGTGTGCGCCAGGAGGGGTCCTGATGGCTGCAAACGAGAGAGCTGTCACAGCGGCTCAGCACCAATGAGGCCTTGCTCTCTGTGAAAAGTGGTTATAAGCCCCAATTGGAATCTTGAAAGGAAAAGAAATACCGAGTGTGGGCATCACATCCCCATAATTGGCAAATCATGCCCGTCTTTCATAAACATAGCCATGATTAAAATGACCTTTTACGAACAGCAGGGAAGAACTACTGAAGAAAATGAGACCTGAGAGAATAAAAACTATCTACCTGATTGCCACATAACTTTTCGGTGAGTCACACAGTGAGAGTTTTGGGTAGAAAGTAAAGATTGCCAGGAGAAGTTCCATCCTTAAAAACAATTCTGTGTCCTACATTAGAGACAGAAGTCCAGAGAACCAGGGGGGAATATTGGTCACTCATAGTTGACCTTCCTGAATAATGGGAAGGTGAATTAGTTATGTATGCAGTTTTCATCTGAATTTTTGACCTTTGCATGAATGGGACTGGGTACAAACTATTCTATGAGGTCCACATTGCACAGAGTTCTGTAAATACTGAGAAGTATGACATACTTCAATTGCCTGTTCAATTTTGGTCACAATGTATCCACGTGGTGGATTTAGTTATCTGCAGTTTAATAAATTGATAAAGTCTATTTGCATTGTGGTGAGTTCTGAACATTTATGTGGTGAACACCTAAAATTAAAGCTCTCTGAAACTCAGATCTCCTGTGGGCACCAAAATGTACAACATTCTGAAAATGTAAGCCCCTAAATGCTTGCAAATCAGTGTGTATAACCTAGATATGAAAGCTGAATAAATCACTATGGTCCCATAGTCACTTGCCACCCTACATTTGGGTTTAGCTTACCTTTCAAGGGACTTTTTCCCTTGGATGCACTAAGTTACTTATCATCAGATCAGCAATATATTCTACCAAACAGTTATGGTTTGGGTATGAACTGACAGGTTCATGTATTGAAAGTATGGTCCCCAGCTCATGTTGATATTTTAGGAAGTTCCGGAAACTTTAGGAAGTGGAGCCTGGCTGGACAAAGTAGGTCACTGGGTGTGTACCTTTGAAGGTTATTCCTGGTCCTCAGGCCCTTCCTCTGTCTGTCTGTTGCTTCCTAGCTGCCAGGAGGTGAGCAACTTTGCTCTGCCATGCCTTTCTACCATGATGTTTTACCTCTTCAGCAGCCCATAAACAATGGAACCAGACCAGCATGGACTGAAACTTCTGAAACTGTGAGACATAATAAATCCTTCCTCCTTTAAACCTGAGAAATACTCTGAGGGATTTCCTACAGTGACCAAAAATCTAGCACAAACCTGTTTATGAAATACATTCACTTGCAGGGGGCCTATGACTCGTGCCTGTAATCCTAGCTACTCAGGAGGATTGTGGTTTGAAGCTAGCCCTGGGCAAACACTTCCAAGACCCTATCTTGAAGGCAGCACAGAAAAGGGCTGGTGGAGTGGCTCAAGTAGTAGAGTGCCTGCCTAGCAAGTGTGAGGCCCTATGTTTGAACCCCCAGTGCTACCAAAAAAAAAAAAAAAAATTCAAAGGCAGAGTGTGTTCTGTGTGATTCTGCCTGGTTTATGTCTATCATGTCTGCCTGGTTTATGTCTATCATTTTACATTTTACTGATCCCCTCTCAGACAAAGAAATTTGTGAGTTTCTGACATATTCTAACATGGGGTCCTTCAGATCCAGCAGTTTGGTAACCAGAACCAAGTGTATTGCAAAATTTAAAATTTCAGCTGAAGTTGATACATGCATAGTACCACTCAAATGAGATCTTTCATCTGAGGATGTTTACGTGGGTTTCTATTATAGGGTCTGTCAGTTCACTGGCGGTAGGACCACCAACTTCCCCCACCCCCCCAGTAATGTAAGAGGACCCACTGGAAGTCTAACTTAACTAGCAGCACATCTCAGCTTTCTCGCAGGATTGTGAACTAGGATTGGGGCCAGTACTACTCAGTCTATCTTTGCTTGCCAGCTGGCTTCTAGTTATTCAAAATGAATGACAGCTTCACCCCATATTTCTACTTGGAAATATCTTCCTCCTATCCTTAGGTGGTCAGTGAGTCTGCTCAATAATCAGATCTGATCAAGTGGATTAAAATGTGGATTTTCAGCATGTTTAAATCATGAATGTATATAACTTTAAAATATGCCAATGCTCTTATCATTTCAGTAAGATGTATGTCTCATAAAGCATGTGAATTTTTATGGAGAAAGGCTTAGTGTTAATTATGGTTAAGATTACTGTCACTTTTGACTGGATAAGGTAGCACACACCTGTAATCCTAGCTACTTGAGAGGTGGAGGTAGGAGGATCATGGTTAGGAGCCAGGTTGGGCAAAAAAGCATGAGACTCTATCTGAAAAACAAACCAAAAGCAAAGGCATGGCTCAAGTGGTAGAGGGCCTTGCCTAACAAGCATGAGGTCCTGAGTATAATCCCCAGGACTGTACAAAAGAAAAAAGAAGAGAAAAAGTCTCTTTTTTTCAGCAAATAAATGCTGGGTTATTGAGGCTTTCTTTTGTGGGCTGGCCAAGATGCTCATCACCGCTTAAAATAAGAGTTTCAGAAAAAAAGACAGCCAGGGTTTTAAACAGAAGGCTCTCAGATCTTCCAATGCAACTGGCCTTAGTATGTTCTGTGGACATCTCTTTAACAGAAAAACCCTCAGATCGTAATCAAAAGCATTCTTGGGGTTGTGGGTGTAGCTCAGTAGCAGAAAGCTTTAGCTTGTGTGAGGCCTTGAGCTCTATCCTAAGCACTGAAAATACACACACACAAATAACTGTTCTGTGGATGTGTGAACAGGGTTTTCATCACAGCTCATCTACCTGTACACTGATTTTGATTTCGGTTTTATCTGTTTTGCCCTTTTGTGAGTGATGTATGTGTGGACGGCAGATACTCTGTGAAGCACAGCAGAATCGGGTTTGTCAGTTCAAGCTGATAAAGGAATGTGTCCTCCTGGGACTGTGGAATTCAAAGGGTTCACAGCTTAATCCTGGAAATAAAATGAGAAACAAGTAACTTCTCCGTAAAGAGCATATTGTGCTGATTTATTATAGAATGCAGTTAAAAAAAATAGTTTGAGGTTAGCCTCTCCAGTTTAAAAGCACTTAACTAGAAACACTTGAACAGCTACGCGATGGTCTCTCCCTGACGGCTCCCTCCTACCAAGTACTGTAAACAGGGTTTTGAGAACATTCAATCAATTTCTTGTTAGGAACAATCAAGCATTCAATGCAAACATATCTGCTTCCCAAAGAAAACCATCTTCCAGGTTTTCAAAGCATGCATTGTTACTTGGCATCAGTTATTTCAAAATGACAAACTTTGTTGTTATGGTATTATAAGGCCAAAATATAATATCTATTTACCAGACATACACATTACAACTAGAAAAAAATTACAAATGTTCACCTAGTGTGACAATTCCCGCAGGAATTAGTGGGGAAAGGCACTGCATCCTTCTCATGTCAACACACATGTACTACTCACTTTACATGCTTTGAATTCAAACCTGTTAAACATGGGAACAGCATTTTCTACAACACACAATTCACAGGTAGGTTAATATGTCTTATACTATTCTTCCACTGCCCTAGTTTTTCACCCAAGTGTAAAACAGGTACGGATATAAGCTGTCAGCTTTATTTACAAGTTTATCTTGATGTTTCAGTGGGGTGAAAAACCAACTATCTCAACCAACAGTTCCCAACCAGGTTTTTGGCTATGATGCATGTATAGAAACCACTACATAAAAGAAACAAAGGAAACTGATGTCAGACCCCAAACACCTAAACTAAAATTTCTCACCCACTAAAAGTTGGCAGTGAAACTGCTATTTTTTGAATTGTATAAGCTAAACTCTACATAGGAATTTCAGGTCGACTTCTTTTGTAAAAATACAAGTTACATGTTGCACCAGACAGGTGCTGGTGAACATATTTCAGGTGGAATTCCTTGTGTGAGTGCTGTTGCAAAGATAGTCAGGGATCTGGAGAGGGATACAGATTTCCAATGCTTTCCTAGCTTCCCAAAAGCTGTAAAACAACAATGATGTAACTTCATATACAAAGGTCAGTCTTGAAAATCAGTAATATACATGCACAAACACCAGAACATGAGGGAGGAAATGAAACACTACAGTTTCCACATGGCATTGTGGGGTTTTCACCATCTTTCAGCCCTGGATTCTTGGCGGCTTTGCATGATGTCCTTTCCTACCAGTTTGGGTAGTACCCTGAACACTGGTTAGAAACAGAAAGCTCTCCCTGCACCCACTGATCAAACCGTCCTTGGCATAAACAGAACCTACCAGAAAACAAGTACAAAATACTATTGTTATCAGTTTTCTCAAGACATTCCCAAATGTCCTGTGCGATCACCACAAATTCAGTGAATGGCCCAAGACATTGCCGGGTGCCATGGACATGGTTTGAGGTGCAGCATGAGAACAAGGAGACAAAGCCTTGATTCTCTTCTGAGCAACATGAACTGGAATTTCCGCCACAGCGGTCATGGCTGCCACCTCCAAAGTTGTGACCAGCCCCTTGCACAGTACAAAGATTCCTTCCTTGAGTATGATTCAGAACACGTCTTCACCCGCAGGCCAGTTCAGCTTAAGTGGACAGGTGTGTACTCCGGCCTTCTCGTCTGGATAATTTTTGGCTTGCGTCTCTTCATTCTTTCCATCTCTTCCTCTTCCTCATTCTCTTGATCGCTTTCACACACATGGACCACCACGCTGGGAGTGGTGTCTGTCGCTGCATGCAATTCATACTTCTCACCTAGGGAGAAAATAACTGCAGGTTAACTGCGACAAAGTCCTCCAAAGTCAAAATACTCTCAAGAATAAATGCAGTAACACTGACAGTTTGCTCAGCCACCTCCTGCCCACCATAAACAGTGATGAGAGACACAGTCAGGTCCATTTTGCATTTGTATTTCTTTGGTTGCTCATTCAGAAAAAGATACCTTTCTATGGTATAAGGCTGTTTTCAGTCAAACACTCTGAACCCAGAAATGTGTGAAATGTATGCTTTTAGATAACACTTCTCATGTCCACCAGACATCCCAGTGACTCCAGGAAAAGGGCAGTGAATGAATAAACACATATGGAAACAGACATCTGAACCTTCTTCATAAGGCTCCCACTGAGGGTGACAGCACACACCAGGGATTGGGTGATATACAGAGGCCCTTTGTGCACATGCAGGTGTGGCAGCACTGAATCAGGTGCTCCTTTGATCTTTTGTCCTCTGTATCCTTTTTCTTATAACAAGTATTGACTGCCCAGGGGCCAGGGGTGTTCCATGGTTGCTGTTCTTGACCAGGCTCAAGTTTGCACCACTCTGGTTCAGCAACGGTAGGTGAGCCTTCTGCAACTAAGAAGCCTGGCGATGAATGAGGCCCTGGGTCATCCCTTCAGAGCTCCATCCAGGCTACAGGGAATGTGCCCCTTGGGTGTCGGTGGGAGACAGTGTGGCAGAGAGGCTACCAAGTGCACTGTGAGCCCAACCAGGGCTCATGGGCAAGGTTTCACCTCCCTGTGCCCCAGTCCCTTCCTCTGTAAAACGGAACAATGGAGGTATGACATCATGGAGCCAATCATATGAGTAAAAGCACACGAAGACTTAGTGCCTAGCTCACAATATCATGCCTGACACATGGCACCTAGAATTATGGTTAAAAATGGAGGCTGGGGATGCAGCTCAATGACAGAGCACTTGCCAGTGAGGCCCTGGGTTTCATCTCCAGCACTGGGGGAAAAAAAGTTGTTCCTTGTGCTGGCTGACTTCCAGGTGAAAGGGGAGCTAGGCAGGGCCTCCAGCCTCCTGTCTCACACACAATCCTGTAAATATGGAAGGCACTTTCACTCACCGGAAGATGGCTGACATGCCTCTATCCCACCCTCAAGGATAGACTATTGGTGTAAGTGCATCTAAAAAAGTACAGGAGCCTTAGTTCTCTCAGAACATTAAGGTACAACACATCCCACAAGTCACTGGAAACGTGGGCCTCTTAACAAATCCTTAAGTATCTACCTCAGTCAAAATCCAGTAAGCTGGGGGCTTAGGGATATATTTGCAAAATCTTTGCAATCCTGAAAAGCACAGCTGATATATGAAATATTTGAGCTCATTGTTATGTAAGCCACTGATTTTACCATGTCTTCTCTGTAAAAATGCTTCTTCCCAGCCTTCCCAGGCGAGGTGAATTCTGGAGTATGAGGAACTGTCATTCACAGCACTTGTTGCCTCTCGAACAGTAGGGTACTTGCCCCATTAGGAAATGCCAGCTACTCCCATCACTAACTCACCAGAAGACTTCAACCTCCCAGCTTCACTAATGAATCTGCCTATGAGCATCAGATGCTTCCTCAACTGGCTATTTTCCTTCTTGACCTTCATACCATGATGAGTGCTAGATAATGTGATTCTTGCTTTATAGCACCAGGGAATTTCCGTTTGGGCAATGTTTTCAGAAATGTAATCTTTTCAATATGAAACTGCTGATGGTCCACGAAAATAAAACCCTCAACCCAAAGGAACATCAGATTGTTGGTCAAGGAGAAACAAGATGTTGATGGTCTCAGCACTTACTCAGCCTGCTCCACTTTGGGGCAGGGGAGGGGCTCACACCTCTTCACCTGAAGATCTTCTCTTGCCTGACCCCTCTACCAAACCCTAGTACACAGGACAGGAGCCACCAAAATTTTATTATAAGTTTTCAAAACCATGTACTGAGCACTGACTGTGGGCCAGACACTATATGAAGTGCTTTTAAAACTGGGGGATGAACTTGTTTTTGGCCCATGATTCTACTGGTGAGACCCATTTTATGGACGAGCAGCCTGAGGCTCTTTCTTCACAATGATTGGTGGTTCTCCTTCTCCTATCCATTAAAAGGCCAGAAGAGAATCAGATTGATGGTGAAATTACCTTGCCTAATAATGAAATTTCTAAAAAGAGGGCCTGTTTTCCCTTTCCAAAGTCCAAATGTTCATCCCACCTAGAACCATGGAACTTGAGGCCTGTGTATGAGCCACACAGGTGGTGCCTGGCGGGTGAAGGGATAGATCAGGGGACACTTCCTGGAGGGGCCCATGCATATGACCCCTGGGCAGCTTTGATCTCTCTTGTACACCTTCTCAAGGAACGCTCATTCCCAGTGATGGCACTGATGTGGGAGAATGAAAATAAGACAGCTTATAGCCAGGTGCTGGTGGCTCACGCCTATGATCTTAACTACTTGGGGGGGTTGAGATTGGGAAGATTCTGGTATGAGGCCAGCTGGGGAAAATAGTTTGTGAGACCCCTATCTCCCAAATAACCAGAACAAAATGGAGTGGAGGTGTGGCTCAAGCAGTGCACCTGCTTTGCAAGTGCAAAGCCCTGAGTTCAAGCCCCAGTCCCACAAAAAAAGACAGCTCATAAGATCACATGATCAGTTCATGGACCAGCTGAGAGCTTAGGACAATGCAGATCCCTCCACTCTCTGAAAGGTGAGCACTGTGTCTTGGGAAATCTGCCATGCATTCCTGCCCCCTGCCTATCTGAAGGAATTGCTCACCTGGGCCCAGCTTGGAGATAGCATATAGAAGATCATAGTTTATGACTGGAGTAGCGTCTTCCACTTGTTTCCAGCCAACCGGTGGAGAGGCAGGAGGAGAGATGAGAAACTGCTTGTCTGGATTGGGTGGAGCCAGGTGTGAGCTTCCTATGTGTAAAGTCTGAAGAGAGAAAATCAACATTCGTCACTGCATTTGAGGGAATGGCAGCAAGACTACAGCAATCTGGCAGCTTCTGGAAGGACAAGTGAGTAAGGACAAACCAATGGCCAGGCACCAGGAAAGAATAAGTTCCAGAATAAGTAAAAAAGGTCTGTCAGGAGGTAAAGGGATGACTGGATTCAGGTTATGGTGCAGGTCTGGTGAGAGCCCCCTGGAGAGCTGTGGGACTCATTGGAACACAAACTGATTATTCTGGACTTAAGACTGGCAGTGAATACACAGAGATGACTTCAGTATGAGTAGAAAGAATAAAGCCACTGTCACTGAGGTCAGAAGGGATCTCAGAATGGATTTCTTCCAGCTGCTCATCCCACAAACGCCTAGTGAAGGCCCAAGGACTAAGTCACATCTTTGAACCAACACTGGTTTTCACAGTGACAAAGCCAGGGCTCCCGCCACAAGGAGCCAGGGCTCCCGCCACAAGGAGCCTCGCACTTCTCTACCTCCTTCTGGGGCTCCCAGCAGAGGCCAAAAGTCAAGAGTCAAAAAAATTCACCTTCCAGAGATTTAAAAAAATAATAATAATAAGGAACAATGACCCACGATCCTAGTTCGATCTTAAAAATGCTATCAGCAATTAGAGGGCCATCTGGAAATATCTTACATCAAAAGCTAAAAATCGTATGTTCTCCCTCATATGCGGACTTTAGATAAAGGGCAAACACAACAAGGGGATTAGACTTTGATCACATGATGAGGCAAGAGCACACAAGGGAGGGGTGATGATAGGTAAGACACCCAAAAAACTAGATAGCATTTGTTGCCCTCAATGCAAAGGAACTAATGCAGAAACTTTAAAGCGACAGAGGCCAATGGGAGAAGGGGATCAGGAACTAGAGAAAAGGTTAGTTTGAGAAGAGTTAATTTAGAATGTAACATATATGTACAGGAAAGCACTGCAAGTAAACTCCCTGTATAGCTATCTTTATCTCAACTAGCAAAACCCCTTGGTCCTTCCTATTATTGCTTATACTCTCTCTTCAACAAAATTACAGATAAGGGCAAAATAGTTTCTGCCTAGTAGCAAGGGGGTGGGGGGGAGAGGGAGGAGGCGGGGAAAAGGGAGGGGGCGGGGGAAGGGTGGGGGGGAATGACCCAAACATTGTATGCACATATGAATAAAAGAAATAATAATAATAAAAAAATTAACTAGTTTGGATTTTCCTTATGCTTCAATGCTCCTCCCTGAGTTTTTCATAATGAACACACATCATCTTAACAGTCAGAAAAGGTCATGAAGGTACTAAGTCATTATTTACATTAGCCCTCCCCCAATGCAGAATGGTGTATACTCACAGAGGTAGCCCCAGAGTCCAATGTCAAAGCCCTACTTGCTGCCTCCAAAGAAGCCCAGAGGTGGACAGGGTATCTGCAGGGCACCTGCATGCTTTGACTTACACTTGAAGAACTTAGCAAGTTCACTTGAGAAAGAAAAGGGGATCTGGTTCTCTGACACAAAATCAGAAAAGCATCCTGCTACCAGGAAGCTTCTGAACAGGGTTCCTCCTGTACTAGGGGTGGGGAGGCTCAGAACCTGATGGGGACTGGCTTTACCTGGGGAGTAGCATTCTAGTAGCACCTTCTCTTCCCCTAATAATCTGCCAGCCCCTGTAACAATGTCAGATGGAACTTTGGGAGCTGCCTTGAAGGTGGATCACCTGTCACCTGAGGTCCGTGGGAGGGAGAAGGGTTGAAGGGTGGTAGGTAGGAAAAGTAGCACTTATTCAAGTCCCTTCTCTGCAGCTGTACCCCAAATACCAAGAGGGTTTCTTAGCATCTGCCACCTGTCTGTTAAACCATTTTTTCCCCATCAGGCCAGGCCTGGCAGCCCTGTGCTGATTGCATGCAGGTTTTAGACTACTAGTTCTCCACTGAGTGAGAGTGCTGTTGAGAGTGTGTGAGAACCTGCATGAACTGGGAACTACTCGGGTGTGCTCAGTCTGGAGTGGTCCTTAGCGTAACCCAGGAGCAATTCCATAAAAACCTGCTGCCCAAATCCTCTGGAGCTGGAGCAGCCACGCCCACAGCAATGCACCTTGCAAACTCCCTGGATGAATGTAGAGAGTGGGCTTTCTTCCATCATTATTCAACCCAAGGTTCAGGGTGATTTCTGAGTCTGTTTTCAAATTTACTTTGAAATAGATGACACTGAGAATTCAGGGTGTGAATTTCACTGTGTGTGTGTGTGTGTGTGTGTGTGTGTGTGTGGTAGTGGGATTTGAACTCATAAATTTTGCCTTTTTTGAAACGGATTCTTGGAGTTTTCAATCCATGTATAACATAATCAATGTATAAGACATTTTAGGAGAGGATAAAAGAAAAGGGACGATCATGCCTAGCAATGAACCCAACTCACCTGAGCAAAATATAACTTCATTTCTTTCCCCAGAAACTCAGTCTTGTGCAGCTGCAGCCTGGCATCTGCTGCAAATAAGGGGTTGCTGAAGTTGATTCGGACACGCTTGAAGCTCTTAAAATATTGAAAGGTGATATCCTTGTCATATGTCCTAAAGAGGGACTCAAATTTGGCCTGAAAAATAACAAAAACAATATAAAGAGTTAAAATTTATCTACATGTGATCTTTGACTAAAGGACATCATTACATTTCTTAGTGAGCTGTCAGTCATTTCAAGTACTCCTTTCTTCCTTTTTAGAGAAAACCTGCCCATTCTGAGACGATGCTGCCCTTTTTTATTTTGATCCAGAGCCTTGTACGTGCTAAGCATGGGCTCTACCATTGAGCTGTAGCCTAGCCCGACACTGACCTTTGTAGGCGTAATACAGATGATTTTATAAGAAGGTAAGAAGATATGATTTGCTAAATTCATTTAATCAGCAGAACAATTACCAATACTTAAACATTGTGAGTCAAGGAGGTGCAATTTGTAACTCTTTATCCCTGCCTGATATTCCTTCCCCAGTCTGGCCAACTCCGATCCTGCCCTCAGCTCAGGGAATGTTGTGCATGTCAAGATGTCAAATATTTCTTTAGGGCTTAAAAGTCCTGCAGTGAATTTGAAAAAGAAAAAAAAAAAAAAAGAAATTTTTGTTTTTAATTGAAGAACAATAAACTTAAAACAAAGTCTTGCATTTCTCAAAGGAAGTAGTTTTACAAAATTCCCACTATTGTTTTTATCTCAGTCTGTTACTTTTTAACTCTCTAAAATAATACTGGTTTAAAAATTAATTTAGTGCACACCAACCCATTCTGCCTTTGGCTTTCATACACAAATAACATGCCTTGTTTCAAAGGGCTGGTGACAATGAGGCAGAGTGAGCTCTCAGAGTGGGAGGAAGATGAGTTTCAGGACAGCCCACCAGCTCCTGGGAAAGGCTCTGGGCAGGCCTCCTGCCAGGATGGGGGGGGGAGGGGAATGGGAGAGAGAGAGAGAGAGAGAGAAAGAGTGTGTGTGTGTGTGTGTGTGTGTGTGTGTGTGTGTGTGTGTGTAAGTCTCTTGTGCCCAGACTCCAGGAGGTCTTGAAAGGCAGGGGAGGGGATGTGAGAAAGAGCAGGTGGCAGGGTTGGGATCCTCTGCGGCACTCTCTACCTCGCACCAGGTAGGGGCAAAGGAGGACACCCAGCTGATGAAGTGTCTAGGGAACCCTAAGGCAAGGGCAGGACCAACCAGGCTGAGGACTGTAGGTAAGAGAGGCTTTGGGTGCCTGCTCCAGGCAAGGCTTGTAGTAGGAAAGCTGCTTCCTCTTTCGACAGGCAGGTGCTGGGGGCATGGGAACACCTTCCAACCTTGTTCTCTGCACATTCCCCCTTTTCTGCAGCTTGTGAACACTGTCTGTGACTTTCCCACATGGGTTCTGCAGAAGCATGTGTGAAAGATCACATAGGAGATGCGATACAGGGATTTCATAGATTTCTTCTAGCTGCTTAGGGATTGGCTCTCCACTATGGGACATGGGTGAATTTCTGGCATAAGGGTGTCTTGGTAAATTTGGAATTTCACATGACCTCATCAATATGCATTATGACTAACTGTGAAGTTTTGAAGTTATGATTCAGAATTTGGAAGAGATGACTGAATATTTTTAGAATATCAGTCAGGGCTCACGACCAGAACAACAGAAAACTCACATTATTGCTAAATCAAGATCACTACTATATCAATCTCTTATAAAATAATCTTACACATTGTAATAACTGATATCTAATTATTACAGTTGTTGCATAACTTCTCTACTTGATTGGAAAATAATGATTTTACTCACATAAGATTAATATTAATGACACCAACTTTGTAGCATGGTTATGCAAAGAATGCGCCTTATAATCTAGTTAAAAAGAACTACTGACCCAGCTTCTCAAAAACAACGTATATAATCATGGAGTTAAATTTGATTAAAAAAAAAAAAAAGGAAACCTTTACATGTCCCTATATGGCTTGGACTATAAACCATGTAACACAAATACCATCTCCCAGAGAATATACAATATTCATTCTTACATGGTATTTTTAAAGATCAATTAGACAGCTGGGTAGCTACTGATGAATTACAGTTTAATCAAACAAAGAAGAAAAGTATAGTGACTAAAATTACTGATTACACTGATTTCTTCAACGAGAGCTGTGACCCAGGAGGCGCACTAACCCCACACTTGAGTCATCTGTCCAGTTTTATTATTTGCTATGGCTACGTTTTCTCTAGCCAGAGAAATCTGGAAGCTAGAGGTGGACCTTTGTCATTACTACAAACACATGGTAAATTTACAACATTTACTGCCCCATAGGAAATCAAATTATTCTGAACTCTAGTGTGCACTGTCAGAAGATGCCTCACTCTGAACAGCTTCCTCACAACACACACACAATGAAAAACACAGATCCCCAAACTCTCTGCCTAGCCAAGGAGGTGATCTAGGAACCTGGCTGTTTCCAAATACTGAGATCTTCAACAATTCCTTCACAGTTAGCTCCTTAGGCAACAGCTTCTGATTTTCAAGACTCAAACCACTTGCATTATTTTGAAACCCTCAAATCCACAAGAGAGCCATACAACCCACCAAGGATTTCAGTTAATAGTTCCAACTAGCTTAATGCTTTGAAAACTCGCGAAAATTACATTTAGAAGCCTTACCCTGGTTTCACTTTCGCTGAAGATGTCACTGTTTGCCACACAGGCAATCAGGGAACTAAAACTGTAGTTAAAGTTCCTAAAATGCATCCTGCTTTCTTACAGGGAAAGCGCTAGAGACCTACGCAGTCAAGTCCCCAGCGAAGTTCCTTTGTGACAGCCTGTAGGTTCTTTCTGCAGCCTGTGCTTATAAAGCATGGAGCACCAGCCCCCTGGGGGGAAAAGCTCAGCCTCCTGAGCATCCTGTTTGGACAGCAAATTCCTGAGTCAAGTCCTGCATGCTCACAGGCAGACAGGGACAAAGTGTAAGTTTCTACTGGAAAGAGGTGACGTCAACACCTTAGTCATTTTCCCTATGCTAATTACCTCTGGCGGGAGGACGGAAAAGGCAGCTGAGGTTTGCTTTGCAGCTGCTTTATCCGCCCCTCTTGCGGCATAGTTTCCACTGGTAGTAATTCCATTCAGCCAGTCAGACAACGCGCTGCTCCTTGGCTGAATGGGACGGCCCTGCTTAAGATGGAAAATGTTACAGAAGAAAAAGGACGAAGGTCCAGGGCAGTAAACAGCAATTAGCCTCCAGGGAAGTTTCAAGGCTTTGGGAGACCTGGAAACCAAAGTCTTGGTGAGTCTGATCCCAGCAATTTCCTGGAAACCTCAATCAATGTTTCATATTGAGCATTAGAAAAAACATTTTGAAATCTGTCTTGGTCAATGAACTGTTTTTAAAGAAAAAAAGTGGGATTTACTTTGAAATGTAATGTTTTGTTGTTATTGCTTTTTTTTTTTTTCCAATTGAACTTTATTGGATGAATGTCCCAATTCCCATTGGTATTGCACAGTGGGATGATGGGAAAAGATCCTAAAGCAATCCTAGGATCCTCATTTGCAAACGTGATTATTGTAATTTGAGAACCAGGTATATGTAATACTTGGAACATTTTCTAATGGCTACTCAACTCAAAGATGCAAAAACGTTTTACAGTGCTGAGGATGTAGCTCAGTGATAGAGCACTTGGCCTAGCATGTGCCAGGCCCCAGGTTGAGTCCCCAGCACTACAAAAACAAATGAAAACATTAGAGAACGCAGCCTCTGAAATTAAGATAGAGGTCATGCTTAGAGACTCATACACTGTTCCTTTTTAGTAGGAAAGGAAGAACTGAAAAGAATGTATACTGTAATTGACAAGCTTGTTCAAGTAGGTCCTCTCCTTGGGGAGATGCCTGGTCTGGATCACAGTGGGATGCAAGACTAACTCCTGTCCTTTTAGAATACTGCAACTCTAACTTCTAAGCACTTTACCAGTTTTAACAGTTTCAGTCCTGCAGTCTGGGTCCTCAGTCTTTCCCATGCCCACAACTTCATCACCTAAAAGCACCCAAGGAATTTAAGCACAGATATCTAGCCTTGGGGCCCACAGGAACAGATCTTAAGCTTCAGGAAAGTTAAGTAGAACCCACCCATTCACATTTAAAAATTTGCTTCAAAGCATCATTAAGGTCAGCCAGTAATTAAAAAGAATATATGCAAGAGGAAAAAAAACAAAGAAACACATTTAGCACAAAAAAAGGAAAAGCAGTCTTGGATGAGTGTTGCTTAATTTCAACGCAATATGCCTTGCTGCCAACTGTGGGGTTATGTAACCAGTTATGGTGTTTGCTTTGCCAAATTATCTAGAACGCCCAACCACAAAAAACTTAAATGCATTTATTCAAAAAAAGTGTAGAACACTATGAACAAACAGTAGGTATGGGTCAAACACCAAGGGAAAGTGGTCCTACTGGATGGTGCTGGAGAATGTGTGCTGGGTGCTGGGCTTTCAGTGCAGTCTGTAGAGGGTCCCAGAGGCACAGCATGGGGTTGGAGTAGGGAAGCTGGATGGGGGGTGGAGCAGGGGATACAGCGTTGCACTTCCCTCCTCCAGAGAGTCTGTGCTGCAACCATTGGCCTCCTCCTTTTGTCTTTTTCCTGGAGCCCAATTTGCAGAGCATTTCAGGGTGATCAGAGGAAGAGGAGGCTGATTTCACTTTCCTTTCTTTCTTTTTAAATCGTGACACAAAACTCTAAGTCAGTTTTGTGGGCAAATCTGAAACAGTTCTGTCCATCAGAGACAATAGTACTGGCTCATTGGAATTTATAATTTTGATTTCATTATATGAATGAGGAAGGTAAAAAAAACAATGAGATATCTGAAGTCTACACAACTGTCTTTGCTTATTGAAAGACAAACCTTCCACCAGGCCAGTGGGACCTGTAATTCTGTACCTGCCTTTGAACGGATCAGCTGCATCTGAAATGAATTCAGTGAAGTTCAGCATTTCCATTTTTAGATCAGGAGGAGGGCCTGGTCAAAGTGACACTGCCATGTTGCTGGAATGAATACCATCTGACAAAAAAGTCACTAGGACACAAAATGTGCCAGAGCCCTGGGTCAGCAGAGGGTCCC